TTTTTTTTCCTGAGAGTCTTCATTGATGTAACCAGACTGGACAGTCAAGTCTATACTGACATGAGACCATACTGACCCCTGCAGTGTGCCATACTCATAAGGTACTAATGGTATTATATAAGTTTAGGATGAAGTATTTGTTGACACAAACTACTTGTGAAATGCTGTCATCAGGTGGTTCTGTGATCCTGGAGAGTCCGGCCCATCCTGTGATGCAGGGAGCTAACGTGACTCTGAGCTGTAGGACGAAGCAGACGTCCTCCAGCTTCAGCGCTGAGTTCTACAAAGACGGATTTTCCATCGGAAGAAGCTCGACAGGAAACATTGCGAGTCCAGATCTTTCCAGTCTTGAAGAAGGATCCTACAAGTGCAACATCTCTGATGTCGGAGAATCACCAGAGAGTTGGTTGTCTGTCGTCTCTCAAGGTGAAATGTTCCAGTGTTTTAAAATGAATCAGTTCCTGTAATTTAACTCCCTTCGAATTAACAGCTCTTTACCTACAATACCTTTGGTATATTTATTGAAGGCATGCAAAGTTCTACCTTCATATGGTGAACATTTTCTGAGCTACTGGCCCTTGTAGAAGCACAGGGTGGGTGGAAATGTTACGCTTTTTAATGGACTTTTTCCATCATTTCTGAGCCTCAGAACTTCATCATTATAGCAGATCGACATGTGACATTTTCAGGATGAAAAACACATTTGAGTTCTGGTATAAACTGCAACCAGATGAGCTTTACATCCATCTGGATGTCACAGTCTGAACTTTAACTGTGGTTTTGGTTTAGTATTCCAGATTTTCTCTATAACCAACTTTGAGCATGAATAGTATTGGATATATCATAGCTTGAACAGTAAAACTCCAGCAGTTTAATGTTTATGTCTCTTACATAGAAGAAAGAAAAGGCCACATAATGTCTGACAAGATGGGAATCAATTTAGCAAAGATACCTAGCTTGTTTTAACTGTTTGAATATGTGCTTTATTAGTTATTCCCGTGGTCCTGGAGGGCCCTGACCTTCCTGTGACTGAGGGCGAAGCTGTAACGCTGCACTGCATGAACAAGACGAGCGCCAACATCACTGCTGACTTCTATAAAGACGGACGCTTCATTGAGAGCAGCTCTACGGGGAACATGAGCATCCAGAGTGTGTCCACATCGCACCAAGGACGATACAAGTGTCACATTCTTGGAGCTGGAGAATCACAAGAGAGGTGGCTCACTGTCAGAGGTGAGGAAAGTACTATCATATGCTATGAGAATAAGTCTATGATTAAAAACTTTGTTTAACTTTGACAGAAAATACTCCAAAAGAGGCTCCAGTTCTCCTGTACCTCTTCATAAAGACTGTTTGTACCAGTTTATCTGCGGCTCTGCTGCTGTTGCTGTTGAGAAAATATCACCGTTGGAAACATGGAGGTAAAAAAAAAAAAATCTAACTTTCCACTGACAAAATAAAGTTTAAGTCGAGTCTGAAGCTAAGAGATGAGGATCAGTCGCTTTGTACCAGAGACAAGCAATAATTTTGCTGATTTGTTCACACGCTGATGGAAAAGCTTCATGTCATCATCACAATGTGACAGATTTTAGTGTTTCACTTAATTTGGCTTAATTAATGAAAGTGAATGGAAAAAAATGGGGACCAAGTATGGAGCCCTGGGGGACTCCACAGGCCAAATAAACAGCAGAAATCTAAAAAGAAATTAATGCCTGGTGATTCTATCTAGTAGCAGTCACTAAATGAGAATATTCCTTAATTTCAAAATGTCAATGAGCCAACATTTTATGGTGAGATGCATGTAAAAACAACAGTATTATTCTTCAATGTTTTTTCCCTCTTTAACATAAAGGCTAAGATACACTTTTTAAAAATCGGCATCATATCAAAACGTGGATTATCTGGATAACCTGGAAATGTTCCGACTCATCCTTAAAATGACCCAGATAAGAGCTTTAAAGTAAATATAGTGAAATTACCATAAAAAAGCTCCTATTTTCACTGACAAAATGTTCTTTACTCAGTGATCAGGGGTGACATAAGTGCCAGCAGATACATTCATTTTATTATCAATGATTGAAGATGAAGCATTTCAGAATTAACATCATCTCCACCAGGTGACCAATGTTAGCATGTGTGACACGTTTCTGTTTTCATTCCTACAGACGACTAATCTGGACGGACGTGGCATCCAAATAAATCCAACAACGAAGAAATCCTGTGTAAGCTTCACCTTAGACAGTAACATTTGTCTTTATGATCATTCTAAGTTGCATTTGTTTGCTTTAACGTGATATTTTCAAATGNTGGTATCCAGAGCCTGAGCTGTTGTGGCTGGACGGTGAGGGAAAGCTCCTCTCTGCTGGACCTCCAGAGACAGTCAGAGGTCCTGATGACCTCTATACTGTCAGCAGCAGAGTGACTGTGGAGAAGAGACACAGCAACACCTTCACCTGCAGAGTCCAGCAGAACAACATCAACCAGAGCAGGGAGACAAGGATTCATGTTGCAGGTTTTCTTGTGTTTTTTCTTATCCACAATCTGAACTTTTGATAATTAACACTTTTAGCATATTACCAGGGATGTCTTCTTATTGAAGCAAAGCAGGTCTTGATCAAAACTTCTCCCAGTGCTTCTGCAACACTTGTAAGGCTCTCCTGTTTGTTAAACGCATCATCTGCAACGCGACGGTGGTCACGTTAATGCATGTAACACAGATCCCAATTCCATAAATCCCTTCCTCTGCTGTGTTTTGTCATTCCAGAGGACGTCATTACATGCTGCAAATCTGCGGTTTCCATCATCATTCCTTTCATCGTCGGATTCTTGTTCATTCTTGCAGTTTTGCTTTTCATGTGGAAATGGAGGCAAAACAAAACGGGTAAGTCCTGATTTCATTCTGCTTCTGTCTTAATGCCAAGCGTTTGTAATTAGCGTCTCTAGAGCATCATGACGAACCTTCACGCCTCGACAGAAATGAAGAGGGATTCTGGTGAAGAAGAGACCAAACTTAATGAGGACTCAGAGAAGAAAACAGAAGAAGTCAAAGCTGAGGTGGTGACACTGTTGATGCAACACAAGAAACAGCTGGAGAACGTAGGAGACAGACTTCGATCACAGCTGGAGGACCAAGAGTGGAGCGAGAAGGACACGACTATGACAACCAGTACGTCACGGTATTATGTCGTGTTCCAAGAGACAGCAAAGAGTCAAGAGCTGGAGAAGAGGAAAGCAGGGCTGGAAGGATGTCGACTGAACATTGTTGAACTGCTGCAGACGACTGATGACGCGATAATGAATTTAACAGGACGAAACAAACAACCGCAGGAACCACAGAGACAGAAAGACGCCACTTAAGGACGCTTGGAGAGTCAAAACGAGGATGGATATGAGATTACCGAGTTACATGGACGAGAATGACTGACGTTCTGTTCTTGTTTTATGACTGTCGATTGGATGGTTTAGTCAACCAGGCAGGGACTCGTCTGCTCTGGTGGTCAAAGTTTGGTGACCAACAAACCAAATGTGGGCCAAACAGGATGTTTACATGGGACAATGTTTGACAATTTGCTGATGCTTGGAGGTCTGAAATTTTACAAAATCCCCTTCACTACGAGAAACGAGCAACTGGCACACTGAAGATGACAAGTTTTCCTAAAGATTTGGATGGTGAGTAGTTTTAGTGACTAGACCTACAAAGGATGTGTTGCTGAGTGTTTAAATGCTGGTTGAGGAAAAACTTGAGTCTTCCAAACATGTCTGATTGTCTGCAGGGAGATAGTGAAGGTAGATAAAGGTAGCTGGCATGAAGAAGACATGCTTCTTGTAGTGTCTCTGTTGAAAGTAACACTGAAGAACCAGGTGACAAAGCTACAGTCAAGTGGGTTACGCTGGTCAGAATCATATCGACATGCCTGTATTCTATTGGATACCAGCTTCCTGAAATATTGATGTGCAACGATGGACAGAAAACCATCCTGCAAATGTCCACTTCTAGAGACCAGCTGCTGGGAATCGCTGTGGTTGAATAAAGTTCTGTTGGAGCCACATTCTGCCAGTAAACTGGTTCTAATGAGCTTCTGCAAAACTACAGTCAGGCAGGATTCATCCAGTTCTAACATAGTTGTCTTTTTCATCAGTGAAAGTCTTCACCAGACGTCTTTTATTGTTTTTGTGGTGTTTTCTCTTGAGAGGAATTAGCCACTGTAATGATAAAGTTTGTTTCTCTGCTCATAAAAACACGTCTTGCAGATTCAAACAGTCGAAGCTTCTTTAACTTAAGCTTCAGTCAACATGATTGTGGTTGACTGAAGAAACAAAGCAGCCAGAGGCTGTTTCCTCCTTCTGAGGAATGATAGTCAGATGCAGCAGACTGGCTAAACGAGTTTACTGACACTCTGATCTAAAAGCAGATCTCACTTTAATCAGTGTTTCTATGGAAACACCAGCAGCCTTTTTGGCTGAAGCTCCTGTTATTCATTCCTCAGCATTGAACCATCCTTCAGAGTCATTCAGAGCTTTTCCTCTTGGCATCTTAGTACACAATCAGAACCAACTGGACCTGCTCAGTATTTATATAACTGCACCATCCAGTCCACCTGAGTTTGAAGCAGCTGCATTCATTCTGATTCTACACTCATTTTATCAGTTTTTTTTACTTTAACTTTTCACAGACCTGTGCATTCTGTATGTTGGCCACCAGGTGGCAGCACCACTTGTGTTTATCAGTAAATGTTTTCATGGACTGTCGGTTTCTGGTTAATTATCAATGTCTTAACATCACAGATATAACAGATAAAGGCGTTACAACAGACAGGAGGGACAGTTTCAAACAACAAATGATTCTTTTATACAAACACAAGATTTTTTTTTTTTAACACATTTTTTGATGCTGTATAAATTGTAAATATATACAATTGATATAATGTTATTAAAATAAAAGACACAATCTTCAGTGACACAACTAAAGTTCAGTTTCTTTTTATTTTATTTCTTTTTCTCTCTTTTGGACGGTGCCAGTTCACATCGTATGTCATTTCATAGCACTTCAAAAAAACACCTAAGTGGTGTTTGGATTCCCTTTAAGGTGGACTTGGCAGCAATGACAAGAAACCAAAAAACCTCAATTTGTTGAGAGCAACAAAATAAAAAAAATAAAAAAGACCTCTGGCAGAACCAGGCTCAGGGAGGGCAGCCGCCTGCCTGGACCGGTCGGGGTGAAGGTGGGACGAGCAGGTTAGCAGATGGAGAACAGACGGATCAGACGGATCACAGTGTTTCCTCTCCTTCACTGTTACTTGTGGGGAAGTTCTTGTGTTGACAGTATTTGTAATTTCTCACCTGCAAACTGACGTTGTGTTGTTGATTTACGACTTTATTTTTTTAGCGTCGCCACAGAGGTGTAGAAACGAGCGGCTTCAACGCCGAACTGCTGCTGCTGAAAATAAACACGGATGCTGTGAGGAGGCTGAAGCTTTCGTTTTTTCCCTTTAAATGCAAAGTCATACACGGTCACAGAGTCCTCATACAAATGTACACAGCCTGTATGACTGTACAGAAAGCCTCCTGAGATGTTGCCTTTTTCCATCATTTCCCAAAAAACAGAGACGCTGCCTCGTCCTCGCCCTAAGTGACCATATGGTACAAGTGATCCTCTCCTTTAAAAAGTGTCTTCGAGTCTATCCAGGCTGCAGAGTAGCTGGTTGCTTCCGACTCTGGTGTGGAGACACATTTAAGAAAGATTTAACAACTTTCATACGATTAGTGAAAAGTCAAACTGATCCAGTGTTCGTAAAATAAGCAATCAGAGAAATTCAACTTTAAAGTTATTTTTACTTCTAGTCATGGTTGTGTCCTTTGTGTGGAAGTGCAGGACTTGATATTGTTGTAAAATATGAGCCACAGTGAAGACAAATGTGACAAAAATGTCCAGAAATGTCTTAGAATAAAGCTATGGACGCTGTGTGGGACTCTTTCTTCTTTGGAACTTGATGTATTCTTATAATTTCTTGACATTACAATTGCACTCTTCTACTGTAATGCATCTGCAACAGTGCAAAATGCATCTGTGAGAAAATGAAAGTCCAAATTTACAACAGCACATCTGCAAACTCGCCATCCTGATGAAAATAAATCTAACGTACGCGTTGCCGTTTATTATTGTCGTGGCCGCTGCTTGACTCGGAAACAACCTCGAGCTGCGACACAGTGAACTTCCTGCTGCTGTCTGTGGGTTTACCGAGTGGTTTTTATCAGAGATGCTAAAAGAGAAGCTCAGAGAAGAAGCGCCTGAAACGTGCATCGGCTAGTTTAGAAATGAATAAGCTTTTGAAAATGCTACGTGAATACGAGAATAGCAGGTCAGCGGTTCTCGCCTTTGTCTGGTTGCTAAGCGATGTCTGTTTAAAGGCTTTGACGCTGTTGTTTTGAACCAGTTCCTGCTTTCTGTGTCTCTGAGTGTGGACTGAAGTACCTTCCACCCTCCCGGGTTTCGTGACGACGGCATACATCGTCTCTGTTGGCTGAGCTGCGCTGGATGATTCTGCAGACACAAGCACAAGTATAGAGACAGAACATTAGATTATTTTGGTTCTGAAGTTCGTAGCAGCTTCTTTCACACACATAACATTGTTTTACCAGCTCACAACATAGCTGCAAAGAAAAGACTCTTTCATGTCAAAGTGAAAACACATTTCCACAAAGTAATTAGTTGATGCCCCTTTGGCTGCAGCTACAACACTGAGCCTGTGTGGATAGATCTGAAACAGACCTGCACATCTGCAGTTTTACCACATTTTCCTTCGCAAAACTGCTCAAGGTTGGTTTAAGACAATCTCAGAGTGCAGATGAGACATAAAAACGGCTGAGAACTCATAAAACAAAGCGCTTCCTGACTGCTAGGCAAGTAGCCGAACCCTTGTGTGACATCAAAGGTTGAAGAAAACGACAAAATTGAATGCTGGATTTCTGCCTGCACACAAGAACCGTCAGGACTGTTTAAGACCACCAACCAGGCCGGCGTTCCTCACCTGTCTGCGGAGACAAGGAGGGCTGGAAGGAGGAATTTGGAGTTCCTGTTGAAAACAAAAAAAAAGTCAATCAGCTTTGGTGCTTCCTCGTATCGACCCCCAAAACAAACTTCAATAGCGAAAGAGTCAACTTTCAGCGAACCTTGAGTCGGAGCGGTTTCTTGTGTTTGGCCGCTGGCGGCTCTTTGAGACGTCGAACATCGAAGGAATCCGAGCAGCAGCAGCAGCAACACAACCAACAAAACGCTGCTTCCGACACAGAGCAGCAGAAAGAGCTGAAGAAGGCTGCGATGAGGAGGAGAGGCATCTGGAAGACACGAGCAGCTATTAGAAACCATCACAACGCTGTCAAATGTCTGCATCAGGCATTAAATGTGGAACTCTACGATTGTTGGGGTTATTCTGTATAAAATCAAGCAAATCTGAAAAAAAAAAAAAGTTCCCATTTGACTCCCTCGGAATCAACTGATTTTTGTTTTTGTTCAACAACTTCGTGAGACCTTCGATTGTCTAGAACTGGTTCTGACCATCCGCCATCCTACATGCTGACAGGAGCCTGAAAGTCTACCCAGAATGCACTTTGTAAAGTTTCCTCTGGTGAATGATCAGGAAACAGAAACACATCCAGGGTACCAGTGATGTTCACACTGTGATACATCCCATAATACTGACTCTCAAAGTTGGTTATGCAGAAAATGAACAAAAACCAGATCCAGTGTTCAAATTGTGACACCTGGATGGATGTAGAACTGATCTGGTGTCAGCTTCCACCAGAACTCAGACGTGCTCTTCCTCCTAAATGTCATGTGACTATCTGCTGCACTGATGAAGTTTTGAGGCTCAGAAATGATGGAAAATGTGAAATGTCCACCCCCCCGATGTACTTCAAAGGCCTCTAACGCTGAAGATATTCATAGTATGAAGGGAAAACTTTGAATGGCTTCGTTAAATATACTGGAGTTGCTGTAGATGAAGAATCAGCTGATTCTGAGGAGGTCAGGTGGGAGATGCTGACAGGTTTTCATTGATGTACGATGAAACACTGGAACGTTTCACCTTGAGAGACGACAGACAACCAACTCTCTGGTGATTCTCCGACATCAGAGATGTTGCACTTGTAGAATCCTTCTTCAAGACT